TCTTGAACAAAATTTTGAACTTTTTTCCAACCGAAAGGTGAGTTCAGAGCCGGGGCAAGGACTGGGTTGCGACTCTCCGAGGCACTTCTTCATGTTAACTTGGACTAAGTGAGTGGGTCCCTTAAATGGCATACCGACTTAGAACATCGATAAACCCTGTGTCGCGGGCCAACAGTCTATAAGATATCCTCGAACCATACGCGGTCGTGGTAGATTATTTTATTAATCGATACCGGCATTCCTGGATTGGAAACTGCTGCGATCCCAAGAAAAGGGGTAGATTCGATTGTTAGTGGTGAGAATTATTTAATGATTTCCGTAGGCGCGATTGTACTTTATTGTCTAAGCAGGAGGTGAGAATCAGTGGCGAGCAAAAACAGTGATTTACCCACAGGATCTTTCCCGGAGGTACGATGATCTTCTCGAACTACCTCTGGTCCGGCGTTGATATTGCACGGAGCAAATACCAAAATGCACTGCGAACAATAATCCTGAGATTATTGTCAAAATTCGAATAGGGTGAAACTGACAATAAATGCTGAACCGTTCAAGGCTGAATGAATACCTCTCGGCAATTCTTCTGCACCTGCTGAGCCACTGTTTTTTGCGATCTGCGCGAAAAATAATCAACAAAAAGTTGGGACTGAATTGAAGTAAATATCCTCTTTTTGTGAATCCACAAAAGAAACCTTTATGAGATATCTGAATGGTTTTACCTTTGTGATGCAGAAAGTGAGGCTGAATTTGAACATATTCGGCAAATAACTGGAAGGAAACAAAAAATAAATATTTATCTCGTAATTTTTTAACTACGTATTGAAGAGGATCTCTATCACACAATTTTTGTGATAATCCCTTATTCCCCTCATTCATGGATGCTAGAATTTGAAATATTGAGAATCGCAGATTGCCACATTTTTTTAAATAATGAGGTTCAGAATTCAACTCGGAAACTAAAAACCTTATTGCTGATAATCTTCGTAGTAGAACTCCGTTCATACTCATGTTCATAATTTTTTTCTGTCAATTTTATTTCAATAGGTGTGATGACTCCGAAGTGACATAATAATAATGTGGTCGAGAGCTCTACGGCACTGTGTTCGTAGGGAGACATCCGACGTCACAAAAAACCTTTATAAACCAAATGAAATATTAGATCTTCAATCAATATATAAATTCAAAATATTAACATTTGTTCATTCAGTCAAACACAATCATAAACATTCCAATTTGAATTTTAAAATTAATGCTAATATTCATTCACATTCAACTAGACAAACAGACTCATTAAAATAAAATCTGAATTTGGCAAGAGATCTATATATTACAATGGATTATTACTTTACAATGAATTGCCAACAAAACTTGAAAAAATTTCAATGCCACAAAATTCAAGAAAGAACTCAAAAAATATTTATTTGTCTGAATTTTGTCATGTCATCCGTATTGAGATCATATAATATATCAATTATTTTAATCAATCATTCACTCAAACAAGGATCAGCTCAAACTGAGAATTACTAGAATAATTTTTATACCTATAAATACCATATTTTAAAAGTAATGTAATACATTATGGTTTATTTTTTAATGTTCCCTGTTATAAATATATACGTAAATTGTTTCTTGGGAATAATAAAGATGATGATATTGCGCACTCGTCGTTTTTATCAGCTGATTGGAGGAAAAACAAAGCTGTGTGTGAATTTTGATTTTATTCTTTCTGACCCATGGGATGATTTTGTTGGACTTGTAGATATTACACGAGAAAAATGTATATACGTTGTTGCAAACAATATTACGTGGTTTACTCATATACGTATTAATAATCAATACGGATAATCTCTATCTGTTTCCATAGCGAAACATGAAGCCGATTTCTGAAGACAAATGACTATCCATAAGGAAACGTTTTGAAACGATCAGACACATACTGCTTTGATTGAAAGGCTAGTAAACGTCATTGTCCACCGAAACGCATGTCTTTGATGACTACTATAATAGCGCATGGCGCATGCGTATCATGCCACCAAATCCTTATGGATATTCATTTGTTTCATATTTTTGGCTTCATCCTGGCACCCGTTATGATCCGTATTGTTTATTAATACGTATATGGGTTTACTACGTATATTAGAGCTGAACTTCAAGTGAATCCAGTAATTTGACATTGACAAATAAACCAATTTGAACTCATCATTGGGCTCATTGAATTTTCTTACAGTATTCACGATGAATGAATTGACAAACATGTCAATAAATTAATGCTCCCGGTATTATAGTGGGACATGTGCAAGAAAGTTACATGTACCCCTATGGAAAATGTTCATGCTTGTCAGCTTGTGACCCCATCAGCTTTTCAATGAATGGCCGACAAAGGACCACGCACTTTTTCTATATAAAAATGGCGTTCTGTCGAATTTCCTGAATTTTTGGTATATTATTGAACTCGACCTGATGATCAAATATGCCGAGTCCTAATCTGATCCTATGACCAGTTTTTGAGATACAGGGTGTTGAAGTTGAGAAATGCCCCATTTTCATCTACCCATATCTCCAAGAAAAGACAGATGGATCAGAATTTTCTGCTAGCAGATTTTCAGTTTAACCTTTAGGTAGAAGAACCATGTACAGAATCAACCAAAGATGATCTTTATCACAGGGTGATTCACATCTGAATTATTGTGTTATTTTCAATTTCTAAATATCGATACTTCAACTTGAAAAAAATCAAAAAATCAAAATTATCATTCTTCCTACATGAAATTGATTCATTTTATAAATTGATTATACATGGTGTTTCGTGAATGCTGATGTTTAGAAAATAAAGTTTAATGAGCCACCTTGTATTATTGGGTTGATTTAGACTATTGATTATAATTTTTGAGGACACATTATGATGCATTTCATGGTATACAGAGTGATTTTATTGATTGAAAAAATTGCCAACTACAAAAAAATATTAAAAACCACTGTTTTTTCCATCACCCTCTAATTCTAGAATTTCACCGTTAAGGTCAGATTTTTTTTTCATTAATATTCAAAGCAATAATACCTCAATGAGATGAAGAATTTTCAGCTCCTTGCTATGACTAGTTTTTCATATATTGAATATAATGTAAATATACAGTATACAGGGTGTCCGCTTCACCATGGATCATATATACCATAGCTGGTGATAAACAAATTTATAGCTTGGCAAAACACCACAATTTGAACTTTTATACAAAGAACACAATTCCTATTTGTATGTTTCAAGCTACACATGAAGACAGGAATTCATTTTTTTGCATATAAAAGTTCCAATATCCCGAAATCCGTAAGTTTTTTGCTGAGGTCAGAATGTGGTTTTCTGATAGGTTATGATGTGTAGTAGTATGATCGATGGTTTATCGGACACCCTGTATACTGTATATTTTTTTATTCTTTCAAGTCTTCAATGGAAATATCTCAGTAACAGTAATATTTTCTACTAGTAATATTTTCGTTTCGAAGCAGTAGGTATTCAATCTGAGTGGGTAATCACTTTTATTATATTCAATATATGGAAAACTAGTCATAGCAAGAAGCTGAAAATTCTTCATCTCGTTGAGGTATTAATACTTAGAAAATTAATGAAAAAAAAATCTGACCATAGCGGTGATAATCTAGAATTAGAGGATGATGAAAAAAATAGTGGTATTTTAATATTTTTTTGTAGCTGGGAATTATTTCAATCGATTATTCTCCGTATACCATGGAATTCTCTATAATATGTCCTCATAAATTATAATCAATAGCCTAAATCAACCCAATAATACGAGGTGGCTCATTAAACTTTATTTTCTAAAACATCAGCATTCACGAAACGCCATGTATAATCAATACATAAAATTAATCAATTTCATGTAAGAAGAACATATCGAATGATAATTTTGATTTTTTAATTTTCATCAAGTTGTAGTATCGATATTTAGAAATTGAAAATAACACAATAATTCAGATGTGAATCACCCTGTGATAAAGATCAGCTTTGGTTGATTCTGTACATGGTTCTTCTACACAAAGGTTAAACAAAAAAACTGCTAGCAGAAAATTCTTATTCATTTGTCTTTTCTTGGAGATATGAGTAGATGGAAAGGGGGCATTTCTCAACTTCAACACCCTGTATCTCAAAAACTGGTCATAGGATCAGATTAGGACTCGGCATATCTGATCATCAGGTCGAGTTCTATAATATACCAGAAATTCAGAGAATTCGACAGAGCGCCATTTTTATATAGAAAAAGTGCGGGGTCCTTTACTCCATATGACGTCACTGACAGTGCTCTATTCCCCAATACCGCACTAGTTTCTACTTATAGGGTCTTAGTGTTGAAACCAACGAGGTCCCAATTTGAAAAAAGTTAGGGCATTTTACTGAAAATATAAAATGTAGTAATTAATTTACCTATGTAAATTGTTCTTTGTATAAATACATGGAATACTCTATCATGGAATATTTTCAATATATGCACCTATGCGTTACACCTATGCATATCCTAAAACTTTCTTTGGATTTTTGTTTGTTCCTCATTGGCGCTATTAGACTTTTATGCAATGAAATGTATTCATCTGAAAATATGTACCCCAATTTTAAAGTTGACAGGGTTTTGTATTGATAAAATAACTTTTTTTTTACTTGAGAAAAAATTTTACATCTTTTCAATGTCTTGGTACATCTGAGTTCAAATATTTCGGCATTTTTTCGAGGTCATTTTGTGCAAAAAAGTCTGTTTATGAAACGGCTCCGATTTATTGAGCTATTTTCCTGGTTCGTTAGTAGCATACTCTTTCGACCACCTTGTATACATTGGTAATAATTAGTCTAAAGTCTAAGGAGACTATGATTAATCACCTTGTACGGTGAAATAAAATCTTAAACATTTTCAATTCTTAACCTCAGGGAGATACTTTCTTCTAAATATAAACGACTCTATATTTAGAATTCACATTTCAACCCTTTTATTATGTTTATGCAGGTTCAGACAGATCAAACTGTGGTGTATTCAGATGCAGTTGCTATGGTTAGTTTTTTTGTGATTTGTTTTCGCTTCTACTAGTATTTTTCATCTTTAATTTCAGTTACAAGATAGAGACGAAATGATTTTGTCTCAATCTGAAACTTTGAATATGTTCCAACACGAATTGCAAACTTTAAAAAATAAAGAATCGGAACTAAGAAGAGAAACAGAGAATTATCATATGGAAACAGAATACTTGAAGAATACAATCAATGAATTGGAAAAAGCCAGGAACAATGATTCTGTCATCGATGATAGAGGTTTAGAGAAGCTAATGGAGTCGGTTAGTTGTTTCATGGAACGTTGAAACAATCATCTCTAAATGTGTCTCCTGTTCGAGTTACAGGGTGTTTTATTCGAAAATTTTTAAATAATTTGTGCCTAGTGCTTCGAAACTATTTGGCATATCATAGTCATATTTGGCATGAGGTGGAGATACTATACACCCTACTGAATTATGTCAAATTAACGTTTCTGGCTACTACCAGAGACATTCGACAGGTGCAAGTGACTGATTGATCCTTCCCAAATTCAACGCCACTGACAGAATTGCCATTTTATCACAATTTTTCTATCCTCCGATACTTTCTACGTAAATATCGTACTTACGAAAAAACATAATAATCTTATAGTTTTTCAATTATCGAATATAATAAATTATGAAACACCCTGTAATGGACATGAGACACATTTAATCTCGGTGTTTGAGGTTAAATCTTCATATTTCGAGCTCAGGATTTGATAGCTGAAATATTTCCAATTAGTAATGAATATGTATATATGTATATGTTTCAGATACAAAACAGGGATGAAATTATCAAAAATCAAAATGAAACATTGATATTAATTCAACAAGAGTTGGAGCTGTCAAAGAAGCAAGATTCAGATATGAATTCAGAAAGGGAAAAATATTGTTGTAATATAGAACTTTTAAAACAGAGGATTGAAGAGTTGGAAAGCTCACTAAAATATGCAGAAGGACGTGCAGACAATTTACAAACAGCAGTAAGACAACTATTTCCAATTCAGTTATAGTATATTGTTTAACGAGCACGAATGATAGTGATGTTCCACGAGAATGAAGTTTCGAGTGGGAAATTAGCATTACGTGCGAGTTATACAATATAATTTTTCTACGGCTGATCTGATTTCCTCTCAAGTAATGATCATCTAGACATATCTGTCATTGCTTGAAATTTGACATTCCATGGGCGATTAGTTTTTTCTGAAATAATAACTAGGGTTGTGAGCAAATTTTTCTGACTATGTCATGTCACGGTCAGAATGAAATTGACGGTCATGTCATTTATGTTTATGACAACCTTCTCATTTATTTTTTGTCAATTTGAGTTTCTGACTGTCAGAAAAATAAATGACCGTCATTAAAATATATGACAGTCACAAAACCATCAGCTGACTTTTGTTGATGTTCATTTTTAGACAAGCTACAACGCCTACAACACGCTTAATTTTAATTTTTGTTGTTTAAATTGGTTGTGTATTTTTAGTATAATCCAAATAAATTCACGTTTATGTTCATGTCAATATTTGCTAATGTTTTAATCACTTGTCTGATGCTTTTATATCAACATTGAAATTAAAGCAATGAAAATGACCATAAATGACAAAAATGACATATAAATGACTGTCACATATCACAAAAAATAAATGACCGTCATTTTACATCCCTAATAATAACACAGTGATTGTGATATCAGATACGGAAATGAAATTGATTACATACAAAGTAAAACAAGAACAAGTTTGTGTTATAGCCGTAGAAAAATGTATTTCTTGTTTGAATCTGTTTCAGAACATAAAATATATCTACACTATGCAGCATTGTATACCAAAATGACCTAGCCTTGTTGCTTTTTTCACTAGATTTTTCTTGGCTTTTTGCTTGAATATATTCTGCTTTTACTTGCCATAGCAACATCATATTATATGTACGCATTTCTTTTAAACAGGTGAATTTATACGTGAACTCTCTAAATGTAATGGAAGCTACAGAAGAAAAATACAAAATTGAGGTGAGATTTCAATCCAATGCATGAAACGAGTTGCAAACTATATTTGTTTATGCACGACCAGGTGTAAAAAGGTGTAAAAAGTGGGATTTTTGCGCCCCAGGGCTATGAAGTGGCTCAGCGGGCGTTAATGTCGTTCGGCGTTAGATAAAGTAGAAACACGGGTGCTAAAGTAAATAATTTCACTGTATTCCAGTGATTTTTTGTTTTGCATCAGTGTCATCTATAATCTCCCTGGATACTTTAAGAATTATCAATAAATTCTGTTGTTACAGTAAATGAATGTTTGAAACGGTTCTATTACCAACACGTTGCGGTCCATAAACGCCTATTTTACGCCCTCGATACATGAATAAATATTCGTTTCTTTCACAGAACTATTCCCAGAGTAGAATGAAAATGAAGTTCTACCAAAGGGTTTATGGTGTTTCTACAAAAGGTGGCCTCGTTGCTAGAATAGGTAGAACACTGCATAATATGTTGGGTTTGGTCAGAAAAAAAGCGTAACGGTAGCGGTATTCAAGTTACAAGCTTTTGGAAAATAGTTATTGAAAGAAAAAGTTTACATGTTCGCTGAGGACACTACATTGATCTATTCCGCAGACTCAATCCAACTAGAGTCACTGGATGGTATTGTTTGATAAGAGTTCGGACACAGCTGAACTTTTGTCCTTTTCTATTTTCTATAATACAATGCTTTAAGTGAATAAAAGAATAAGACATATATTCTGCTCTTTGTCTTTTCAATTTCCCTAGTAGCGCCTGATTGTCAGATACGACTTTAGAGGTTATATATTCTGTCAAACCAATCATAGCCGTAGATGGACCATGAGTATAGGGTACAAACACCCACTTCAATTTATACACTTCTAGCAGAACAACTGTTATATAACTGAAGAGAATCCATGTAAGAACATTTTAATATTAGAAAATATATATACACATATGGATAAACTTATAGCTATAATTCCTTATTGTATGTGAAACTGTACTCCAGTGATGCGTATAAAACATGAAGTTATTTATATCAAATTTAAGGTAGGTATTCTCAATATACAGGAAGTAACATAAGTACTTTCAAGTGAAGTATTCCTGAGAAAGTTATGAGAAATAAAGTCTATATAAGCTTTTGTGTCCGGAAATGCTTCATTTCGGAGATACAAGGTGCTGTAATACAGAGACCAAATCATTTTTCGATAAACATTTGATAGGAAAAAAGTAGTTTATTTTGATGGGACCTACCAAATACTTGGTTTTATAAAGTTCTCAGCAACTCCACTTAGCGCCCTAGGAGCTAAGTAACATGGATCGATATAGAGAATATCTCCAAAACGATGACGTCCAGCGTGATTAAGGCCCTTATAATAATTCCCTTGATACATAAATAACTATTCACTTTTCACTGTTAAATTTTAAATTTGGTCGGCATCAAAAACGCCATTCAATAATATATCACTTTGTAGTTTACTTGCTTTTCTTAGTTTCGTTTTCAAATTTTCAATTTCATTATGTAATTTTGCGATCATTTCCTCTTTTCCATGATTATTTTGTTTTGTATTTTGTGTGATGATAATAATGGAATTTTGTTCTCGAAATCGCCTGCTTTGTAAATTGATGGAACAGCAGATTCTCACAGACAGATTTTGAAATCTTCTGTTTGAAAATGGACCTAAAATATAGTTTCATTCTAATCAGATGCTGTTATAAAAAGTGAATTTCAATGAGTACCTCACAAATTTCGCTCGTCTTCAAATTGATTTTGCACCCAGGCCATTTCTAATCTTCCTTCCATAAGCGAATGGTTGATATTTGTTTCGGAAAATTGAATAAATGATATCCATTTTCTTCAGAATTGGCACAATTTATCACACAGCAAGTAATTCCCAAAGCTGCTTTTATCTCGAATGTATGATTATAAAATTTTATTTCAATTCTGACGTTCATAAAATGTATTGTCAAATTCAAACAATTTTGAATGAAAAAAGCGCGGGACGACTATGGTGCTCTTGTCACAATGCAAGGTGTTTAACTTGATAATTCTAAACATTCAAAAACCCTAACCGTTGTCATTTCTGTGTCCGAACTCTTATCAAACTAATAACATCCAGTGACTCTAAATCCAACAAATCAGAAATGCAATTGAAAGTGACTTGATTATTTTATCTTCGTGGTTGTCCTATAATAAATTGAGTATAAATTGAGAATACAGCAAATCATCATTCATGTATATCTCTAAACGACGCCTCTCAAGTGAACTAAAATTTGATTTCAAATTTTATAATGAAATCATCAAATATTCCACAGCCATCAAATTCCTTGGGATATCAGTTGATGAACATTTGTCATGGTCCAAACATATTGAATCGATCAGAAAGAAAATATCTCCAGTAATCGGAGTAATCTACAGGATCAGACATCAAATCACTTCGAAATTCTTGAAATGTATATATTTTCCTTTGGTTTATTCAACATTACAATACTTGATTTCAGTTTGGGGTACAGCTAGGTTATCAATTATGAAGCCAATCAAAATCCTTCAAAACAAAGTTATTAAATGTATACACAAACTAGATTACTTGGAATCAACAAGATATCTTTATAAAGTTAGGCAATTGTTAGATATCAACTCCATTAACAAATTCAAAATATTGAATTTTATCCATTCCGTCAAATATAATTATAAACATTCAAATCTGAATTTTGAATTCAATAGTCATAAACACGAACACATAACCAGTCAAAAAGATATGTTAACTCTTATCAAAATTTAATCAGATATGGGCAAAAGATCTATTTTATACAATGGAACAATTCGCTATAATGAATCACCTGCCAGACTGAACAGATTTCGATGAAACTGTGATCAGTAATATTTCAAGACATCCTGAATCCAGTGGAGTATACAGAATTTTCATAAAATTCCTGAACATGAATTGGTGGGTTGATTAAACGGCATATTTTTCAAATTTCATTCCTTTATAACTTTTTTATTGATTGACGCATTTCAACGTAATTTACATGTTACCCATTTGAAAATGTCACAAATCCAGTGGTGTAGTCAGATTTTTTCTAAAAAAATCGCTAGTAATTTTTTTAGATTTTTGACCTTGAAAAATCAGATTAGTTGGCCCTGGAAATGGAGATTTATTCATGATATTTGGTGTCCTAATAGACTTTTTGAATATCTACCTAACAAAAAAAAAAATCATTCCAATCGGTTGAAAAATGTGAGTTTTATAAGGGTGCTTCCATCTTAAATGGGTCACACTGTATGTAGGATATTGTATTTGCAAATTATTCCAATTCCCATAATATTTTCATTCCTCCTGTAGTGATGAATTGAAACTGGTAATAACTTAGTGATCCAAAATTCGATGTATATATTTCAAGGACATATTGTTGGGATCAAAATAAGACTTTATCTTGTCTTAAAACAGTAGCGGCTCGTGACTTTCATGACAGAGGAGGCTGAATGATATGAGATTTATTGTGAAAAACAACTCCCTACTCACCCAAATCAATAGCTTTAATGACATTCTGTTTACCAGTTAACCTGAACTTAATACTTGAAGAGATGTGTTCCTGTGATTCGCAGTGTCTATCCAATCCGCGAGCCAAATTTTTCAAATCATTATATCCTCCCCCAACATGATGACATCGGTTGAGAATAATACGCAGTACCAACAAAATAGCTTATTCCTTACGTCAGATCCCGTCAGCCAGATATATTTTTTATAATTATCAGAATTGAACAAATGATTTTGTTTGTTACCTGTTACAATCAGATTTTGTAATTCCGGTGTCGGACGTTTGTTTTTCACAATCAATTTATCTTCATAAGACAAAGCACTGAATGGGTTCACCAAAAAGTATTCCACTAAATTGCAATCGTTTAAAACACTCATTTTTCAGAAATTCATAGAACCCCTAACCATTAACCCAACATAAACATAAACAATGCCTGCAATTCGCGACGCGACACGACAAACACGTGCTATTAGGGCGTATTGGGGATTCCCATTGCGCGAGTGGGTTGCGCTCAAGGTTGCGCTTGCGCATTGTGAAAGGAGTCTAGCCTCCTATAGATGTTGCCAAGTTGAATATTTTACGCGTGATTTGCAGACTTCAACGTGTGATGCGTGGGCAAGCACTGTTGCCAATTTAAAAATATTAACCTAAAAACAGGAAATAAAATCAAAATCCATGTATTTTGGTGTCCTTTTAATGAGAAAGTATAGATAATATCAGTTCAGGGAAAATCTCTGAGGAGGCTCAGCCTCCGTTGCCTCCTCTGAGGAGCCGCCACTGTCTTAAAATGCACCCCTTCCGAGCAACAGTCACTGTAAGTTAAACAAAAAAATAAAGATTATCTAATATAATTATGACTAAAATAACGGATCAAATGTTCTGAAAATTGGCATGCCTTTGTCATTTTAGACACTTCATTTCCTTCTTGCTTCAACCCAGTTTTGGGGAAGTTGTTATTAGCTCGGGGTGCATTTCAGGATATATATGAATCACCCTGTATAGTGAATGTAAAGAGAATGATATCTGAGGAAAGAAAAGGTGACCTATTTATTCAAAATTGTAGTAATTTTTTTACTAATGTTGAAAACAAATAAGAATATGTTTTTTAAATTCTTGTTGAAAGTAATAATATCTAATAAATATTTTTTGTCAATACATGTCAAATGATTTATTCCCATTGAGATCAATCATTTTGCTGCCTAGGCAGGAAAGTTCTTACTTTGGTCCCTATGAAGAAAAAGTAATACTTTGCTGATTGATATGTGCCTACAAAATTAATATTTTATGTCAATCGGAGAAAAACAAGTTTTATCACATTTTTCACGATTATGACAATAAAATACTGATGAAAACTTGTAGGAATAAGTTTTGGAATAAGACACACCCAGTCCAAATTTTATGTGAACATTCAATTTCACACCATGAAGATACTCTTGATAAAACTCGATACCTTACATGCGAGTGATAATAGTTATTTAACCAACTAGTGTATTAATGAGGGCGATTAATGATCGAGATATTTTAACGTGCGAGCGAAGCGAGCGCGTTAATGTTCGAGATCTTCAATCGCCTTTTAATATACAAGTTGGTTACAAAATTTTTCCGTCGACTACATTTCTCAGTTCTCCTGCAATGAAGAAATCTTGGTTCGCGAATTCATCATCCACCCGGAAACTGCTAAGAATCACCCAGTAGCCTTGTTACTGACATTAGTGTCATTTGACATTGGTCGAAATGATCAACATAGGAAATAAATTCCTTGTGTTAGAAAACAGGGATTAAAATCGTGTCAGAAACTTGGAAAGGCGAACCCGTTAACGGAAAATCGTCGATGAAATCCATATTTTCGATTTAAATGCAGATTCCGCTATATAGCATAAACAATGAATGCACGCGGTGTATGTTTGGTTGCCTATAAAACAATCGTGCATTAATAGACAAATCGTCCATTAATAGGGGTCATTAATGAACGATTGCATATACATCAAACTCAGTCGTTAATACGAGGTCGACGGAAAATATATATTAATTCAAACATAAACCTGAACTGGAGATTTCCCAAAACGGCCCTGATATACTGAAACATCAGAATGTGATTCACCTGTGATATGTGATTCCATGGATATTTTCCATTCCGATGTTTTCATAACCAACAACTGTTCAAGTGTTTGACATTTTCACCAAATGAGATTCTTCAAACGTAAACGTTTCTTCGAATAATCTGTGCACAAATTTTCATTGTACTCTGGGTAATAGTTCTGTAGTTTCTTTTCTTCATGAATTATTTTATTATTTATGATTATCTACAGATTGATCAACAAAGAGCAACAATCATAAATCTTCAAAGTGTGCTGGTTAGCACAAAACAAGAGTTAGATTATTTGAGACATAAATCTGAAGAGAATGTGAGTGGTTGGGCTTCTAGATGGTTTGGATTATATGAAACAAAGCCAGTTAATAATAGCAGTAGTCAACAGCCAGTGCATGACATTTGATATGTTTCGGATGGATTTGAAAAAATATATTTTTTGTGACGAAAAGACATAATTTTGTATCAGGTAGTAGTTGCTCGAATTCTGTGTGCATTTTTAGATTTAATATTAATTGAATGTCATTCCGAATTGAGATTTATGATCAATCAAAATCCTGATACATAGATTAGGCCAATTTTTCTTGGTGTTGGCTATTCTATTTGTCTAATTAAACTGTATATAAAGAGTGATGAAAAATACAGGCATGTATAACAATATGTATACAGTGAGGACGTAAAAAAAGCCCCCTCCCCTTAAACCTTTGATCGGAACAAGCTGGCGAGGTCGGGTGAAATTCAGACAAAAAGGTACCTCTTTCACTACTATTTGGCATGAAAATGGTTGTGGTCACGTGACCTAGTGTCAAGTGGGCACCATCAACTTTTTTTTTTAAATATGAAGAGGGGTCACGTGGTACGTGGCATGTGGTGGTATTTGTTACAATTCCAACCTGAAATTCTGTTGCAATTAAAAGTTATTTAGGTTTTTTATTCATTAATATTAATATTTGAAGCAAATTTCAAACGCTTGTCATTCTGAAACGGCTTGGCCGATGTGTACAAACGGAGCAGTGTTGGATAGAGAATCGAATGGCCTTCAAAACAAGGTATCACTTGACCCCTCTTTATATTTGAAAAAAAAAGTTGATGGTGCTCAGCAAACATGATTTTTGCGGCCCTCTAAAGGTACAATGAAACTTGTCGGCGAGCGGTAACAGCGGTCCTCTATTGTACAACTAAATTGGGCCGGCTAGCCCGTGTCCCGGCGGCCTACATCCGACCGCCTCTCTAGAGTATCAGTATGCCGCTTATTACATTGCAGGGCTTCTGGTGGGCAGAAGCAAGTACTCAAGTGTACTGTATTCATCGAGGGGGTTGCCACTGGGGAAATTCTCGTACACTTGAGAGGAAATACGGGGCAATGCAAGAAAATTTTAGGAAATGTGGGAAATATGAGGCAATACGAGGAAATGTTCTGGAAATGCGAGGCAATACAGGGAAATACGGGGCAATAAAAATTAATACCGGAAATACTGGAAATACGGGAAAAGCGGGAAATACGAGGCAATACTGGGAAATACGAGGCAATACTGGGAAATACGAGGCAATACTGGGAAATGCGGGGCAATACTGGGAAATTCGGGGAAATATTTGGCAATGTGGGGCAATGCGGGAAATGTCGGGAAATACGAGGCAATGCCAGGAAATACGGGAAATGCAAGGAAATATCTGGAAATGCCGGGCATTATTTAGCAAAGCGGTTGAAAAATTGAGACAGTAGGCATTAAATTTGAAAAACAATCTACGTAATTAGTTTTTTATAGAGTTTATGCACTAGCGGGCCGTAAAGTGCACTTTACCGCCCGGTTTTGCGAGCGTTAAGTCGCAGTTTACCGCCCGCTGTTCTCAGTCACCTTATATCCACATATCAATTTATGAAGAACCTATGATCATATTCCTAGATTCTGACATATCCAGCGGTATATCATAAACTTCTTCTTCATCCGATTCCATAGTCTCGCTATTATTATTATCACTAATTTTACTTTTCAATCAAAGAATGACAATTCAGCTCGTTTATTGGATGTATTGCTATAGACAACAACCATCAGATTGATTGACAACGTCAAAATAAGTTAGGTTTATATACTGGGTATGCATATTGTAAAATTCTGAAGAAAGAATCTCTTCTAGAGATGAAAGAGTTTTACTATTACGATAATTGCAATATTCGTATACGATAATTTTCATATGTAAATCATCCATGAACATTACGCTTCTCTTGATTACTGAATTTATACGTAACAAATTAAATTCTGGGGAATATTAGTTTATCGAAATCTGTAGTCATTACTTATGAGTCAGAAAATAAACCACTAGTGCATAAAATTTTGTATGTATCTCGTGCGTGAAATGCGTTTATGGCCTTCAGCGTGTAATGGCCCTCGGCTAGCGCCATCGGGCCATTATTCACGCCACAGGCCATAAACGCCTACTTTACGCCCTTGATACATAAATAACTATAATATACAATCGCATCGACATCATGTAGAAAAGTCATAAATGAAATATCGACTCTATACACTACTCATGACATGCATTAGGCTTTCACAACCGGGTGGACGCTAGACGAGACCCTAGCGCTAGACGATGGCTTGACGCAATTCTGAGAACTCCCTACTCGACACCCTATTGCGCGTATGAATTTGTTTCTCAAATTGATGTTGAAAAGTACTATAGTATGTTTTATGAACAAAGATGGTATATTGGCAGAATTTTAGAATACAAAGAAAATGAAATGTGTACTCTCAAATTTTTGAAAGAAGACCTGAATAATTTTTACTAGCCTAAATCAGACGACGTAGATTGTGTCCACAAAGAACAAATATTTTATGGACCAATAAATATGCTTGGCTGTGACCCACTACAGATCACAAGATATGATCGAAATAATATTAAAAAAATATATAAAGATTTGAAAAAGAAAGGGGAGTAGTTAATTTTAGTTTGGAATTTGATATATTTTTCATTGAATGACCCATGTTTTGTTCTCTTTGTTGATATTCATTCCAGTGATTATAGTCATTAAGAATAGATATTTTTCTAGTTTTTTCGTTGATGTATCTTAAGTCATTCATAGGTTCTCCACTCAAACTGTGGTGATATTTTCCTACTGTGATTCATATTATGTTTTTTTTTTGTTGAATATTCATAAGAATACATATTTTTTTAGATTGTATATTTTTTCATAGTACCTACTGTCGTAAAACAATATTATTGTAGTGAAATATTAGAGAATGCCTGACAATATAAAAACGATTGTGTAACCAATGAAAAATGTCAGGAAATTAAGGCAATACAGGGAAATGCAGGGAAATACAAGGCGATACTGGGAAATACGGGGCAATACAAGGTAATTTGGGAAATACGAGGCAATACGGAGAAATTTCTGGAAATACGAGGCACTACCGGGAAAAACGGGGCAATACTGAGAAGTGCGGGGCAATGCGAGAAAATTCTAGGAAATACGGGAAATGCGAGGCAATACGAGGAAATTTCTGGAAGTTCGAGGCAATACTGGGAAATGCAGGAAAATTACGGGAAATGCGGGGCAATGCCGGGAAATGCGGGGCAATAATTGGAAATATGAGAAAATGCCAGGAAATTGGGCAATATTAGGAAATACTGGGAAATGGCAATATTTCGTACGTTAAAATCAGTTGTGGCAACCCCCTCGGTATTCATGGCATATCTTCGGCCGGATTGAGACTCTTCAGAGACTGCCATTAATTGGCCGCTTGAGTATTTTTATTCCCCTGATAGAGGAGTTTTTCAGGGCCGTTGGTTAACGGGGTTGAATGAATTCAATATTCATGGTATTCTGTTTTTTGACGTCCCATTTTTCAACTGGGTTTGTCAAAAAATATACAGGGTAATGCATATATCTCAGTGAAAATAGGCTTTTTGATAGGTATCCCAGTTTATATCACCACTTGGAGAGCAACGTATCTCATTTTCTCTCAGATTTGCATTACTCTCTTTATTTTCAAACTGATCAAAAAATTTGGAACTTCAAAAAACATAATTGAGGTCTCCGAGATTTTTGTGAATCCTCTGGGTATCACAAATGTGGAATTCACTCCTTACCTGAAGTTGTTGAATAATTATATGAAAATCTCTGAGATGGCATCCTGATATCACAGTTATTTCCAGGAAACTAGCAGTCTAAATAACCCATACAAAAACAATAACTGAAAATATCCATGTGTGTATATTATTGCCATGATCACAACCAATACGTATCACAACTATGGAAACATCAAACATCTTAATTCTAGTTCTACATATCACTTTGAATACTCATTATGAAAAGGTACCTACAATTTCCAATAATAGGTATTTGTGTTTCATCATGCAGGATTAATGTTCGTTTTTCCACTTGTGTCAAAAAGTTGCTAACTATAGGTCAAAAATTACATCACCTATGTACCTACCGAATAACTTGAAAGTTATGTAGGTATTCAGTTATTATATTGATCAAGTTATAGTCAACAATAGAGTTCAATCCACAATTAAACAATTCCCAGATATGGAGAACCTTACTCTTTTTCTGGATCATTGTGTGATTTCTTCATTAATATCTGTGATTGATGGGCTTCTGGTTGTTGATTTTGTAGCTGAAAGATTGAATGATCTCATTCTCTACTGATCCAAAACATGCAACCTTATACATACCTACACTAATTCTTGAAATATAACTGTTTCTTCAAGTAGGTACCTACTTTTTGATTTTCGTTTCGAAAATATATTTAAGATTCATATGTGATGAAAGCTTATGCATCTTCAAAGTCCTCATATATTATTATATTCTTGTGTATCCGCTGAACATGTCCAAACTATTATTGTATCTGTTTGTCCAATGGTGGTTGTAAAATTATTATCTAGAATAGGAGAATGATTCAGCTGTGCAAGTTTGTATATATGTTTAATCCTCACTCACTCTGTATTTATCTCAATTGCCTTCCATTTTATATAAAAATCCACTAGAAAACCAAGCACGATCTGAACACAATACTTAAATCTCTGTTGAGAGTGTTGAAACAACATAAACAAAGAAATTAATGTACGCCATACTGAATCATTGTTACCACTGCAAAATGATCAAAATAAAAACGCGAGCGAGGGATGCCAACGTTGAGTGAGTGATGATGGCACACTCTGTTGAAATTTTGATGGCCCTTGGACTAGGATATATACAGCGGAAGACTAGCGGCTGAGAAACAGAGGCCTATCATAAGTATGTGTACATTGTGCCTTCGTCACATAATATTTCGAAATTGTATTGTGCCTTTCGAGGCATGCCGACATCGACATTTGCCCGCCGTTCTCGCCATGGGCCCGGCTTTCTACCGCCTTTCGATGTTTGTCACGTGACCACAACCATTTCAATGCCAAATAGTAGTAAAAGTAGTACCTTTTTGCCTGAATTTCACCCGACCACGCTAGCTTGTTCCGTTCAAAGGTTAAAGGGGGGGGGGGGGACTTTTCACGTCTTCACTGTATGTATTGACGACATATTTGGAACCTGTATCATATTATTTACTAATCTACATATGCGCCTAATTTATTTCATTACTCTATGTTACTATCATTTTGCTTGTAAATATTTGTTTGATGAATGGTTCGCATTCTCTGAATTTTACCATGTGTGTTTTATAGTTGATATTAACATATTTTTATATTTAACTTATTTATTTAGGATTAACAATACATTAAGGTTATTCTAAGTACAACGCATTAATTTGCCATCACTGCCTCTTGCTTGATTGTAATTTTAGTTTTTAGCAAATATATTATGTCATCTAAAAGTTTTTATTTTGAAAATGTTACTAGCATGTTGTGGAGCGATTGTGAGGTCAATTTTGTATGTAAAATGTGAGTAAACACAAAATATGGGTAGTTAGTAGTTACTATGGTATATATATCAATTAACTATTTACTTTTCCCACAGTCTATGGATGAGCAAAAACGCGTTAGTAGATATATATCTCTCATGACCGCATCTAGAATCGAGAACGAGAATTTACAAACACTGGTAAGAATAATTGAAATATGTACATACAACAGAGTGTTATGAGCAAACCATTTTCAGTGTGGTGATTTACTGGTTGAATATAAAAAACTTGAAGAACTGAATTTGACCGTCGAAATAGAATACTGCAATAATCTGCAAGACGTCGATGAATTGGACTACCAACTTTTCAAGTATCAATATGAGATAAAATTGAATGAGGTGTACTTTTTATGGATTTGCTTTGCTTGTCTTCTAATCTTTTACTGCGTAATGCCCACGATTCACATGATATCTATTGTTTCATTCATATATGTGATCCAATTTGTATTTTTGGTTTCAGGAAGAAAACGGACAATATAAAAATAGTCTCAAGAAATTGATGAAACAGAAAAAGTGTTATGAAGAGATTATTGTTTACTTCAAACATGAAATGGGCCTAATGTCTGAGCAATTACAGAATTTGCAGGATTTGTTGGTAAGTTTTGAATTCATTCCAATTGATATTAACTTTTGCAATTTTGAATGATTGTTTTCGGCTCCAAAGACGGAATCTCAAACAGTAACTGATCACCGAATTCTTTCATAATATCAATAATTGTCTATCAATAAAATTCGAATATATCTCGGTTTTTTAAGTGCATGTTTTTTAAGTGTTATCATTTTGTGAATGGGGTAAGTAATTTAATATTTATAATTTGGTATACTTATAATACTGTTATAATTTTTGAATAAAACCTTGTAATAAATTTTTTAAGACGTATGTTTTACTCAACTGGGTTATTAGTGAATCAACGTACGTACTAAATAATAATAAAAATATATATAATTCATAGAGAATAATTCCAATGCACCTTAGGTTATCTATCTCCCAAACCGATCATCTGAAAATAATGATAATAATGATCATAATATAATATACAACATTCATTCTTGTATCTAAATGGCCAACGAACCCGAAGTCGTTCAGCCTTGCTCATCTGATTGTTGATATATTTCAAACTGAAGGTCGTTTGATAAGTAACTTAGGCAAACGGTAGGAGAATACGACCTCTCGTTGCAAATAATCCAGCCGTCTCCTGCAATATAGGAACCAATCAGAATGGTGTTTCTCGATAGGAAGCTGCTTTGTCCTTTCGAGCTGGTAAGACCACGTTGTCACGGCAACCACGAATCTCAATAGAACAACATCTTGTCAGCTGGTATGACATGGATTCATAAAAACAGTTCCATTAGGTCGTGGAATTGTCTTAATAAATACAACTCGTGCTCACAATATTATCCTGCGGACTTGTGGTGTTACCAAGCGATTGGATCTAGTTGAATTTCTGACAGAATTACTATCGATAGTATTGCGAAAACTCATGGTATTACCCCTGACAATACTATTCCCACCTTTTTCAAAGAAAACTAATTTTGTTGCAATTTGAACTGAACAACAGATCTGTAGGCCCAACAGTTTCCGAGATACAGCGTAACAAAAAATGTAAGTGAAATCAAAAGCTTTTGGCTAATAATTTGAGCCAAATATTGGGAAAAATACTAATTCTACGAGGACAATCGTCCGAAGTAAAGTTGTAGCAAATCTTATCAGCTTGGATGAAGTGACTTCAGTAGATCGAATGGTTTTGATAGTTTTATATGAACCCTTTCCATGACTTGAAAACTCTGCGATTCTCTCACGAATTCACTATATTCGAGTTTTATATGAACGATTATGATGAAAGTAAAGAAATTTGATGAAAATTTACATAATTATACACAGAAAAAAATTAGTTGGATAGTTCTTGCTCGGATGCGCTTTGGTACAGAAGGGTCCTGCATTCCATAAGACCCTGGCTGCTGCTCCACCTCGGGAAAGAGGCAGCGAAAAGTATTTCGATGAAATGATCTCCACTCGAGACATAATTCCGAAGTTCTCTGAAGAACCATTTCTAGCAAACGAACGATATGAAAACCGCTTGATTTTATAGTAGTCAATTTTATTAATGTACCCCATGTTTTTTGGGGTGCTGAATTCGAATGTGTAACTATCCAACAGAGAGAGATATTCGCAAAAACCAACGAAATTTTCGAACTTTTTTTTGGTTTTTCGCTTATGATTCCACCAACTATGCGTAGTAGTGAAAAAAAAACAAATCACACATTATTTGAAGAAGATTGACTTAACCACAATATGAGTATAACCGCAGCAATTGGTTCACAGATAATTATGTTTACCTTGAACTGGTGCCTGATTTCCTCTTCGAGTAATAGCGATGAACTTTGCTACAGGATGCTGGTATTACTGAACGTCTTTCAGATTTCGATCGGAAAAATTCAATTCCATGGGTGCTGAACTGACCAACGGAGGGTTGCCAGACTTTGCTTTTCCTTGTTTCCACGTTGTAAAGAACCAACTGTGAACGTTCCAGTCTGATGTTGAATACAGTAAGTAAAACGTTGCTGGCTCCTAGACTACTATGTCCGCCTTGTTTAAACAAGAATGAAAAATCATTTTGGAAAAAACGACCTCAGCATTCCGTTGCTGTGCTTCAAAATATATCATACAGTCATGTATTGTACTGTGGAAGCAAGGAATTGCACCTAGATGAGCTGCATTACAAATATCATAAGTCTGCAGCTCATAAATCTTTATCAAACTTGGGCACTTAACTCCTTCCCAACCATACCTGCAGTTTCGGATAGGTCAGCTAGTTTCACGGTAAGAACCGGAAATGTTTGGATGGTGGCAAACAAGCAACGATCTACAACCCATCATTACTTCTAACCAGCACCCTTTATCTGACAAGCTCCTCCAAGTGCAAACAAGATCACACAACGTCTATGACCAGATGCAAGAAGGCTGGGCAGGACTGCCACAGGTACTGCTCTAACATGTGTAAGCTATGATCTCGAAGGGGAAGGAGATAAAAACGACAAGCATCAACCACCTGTTTGAGGTAAACTCAATAACTATATCCATTGCAATCAACTCTTCAAATTCAAGCATCTCACACTTTTTTTGCATTTTATATGCACTTAGATTTTCTAGGGGTAAAACCGCAATCATGGCCTAGAATGTAAGGTACTTCAGTACCAAACCGCGTCCAAACAAGAACTTCATAAACAGACCTTCCTGTACATGATTATATAAATAATCATCAGAATTTCCATATTATAATCATAATCGTACATACAAAAACAAGTATAGTAAACTCATGTAAGAACCGTAAAGTTTTTAAGTACGGAAAAGGGTTCATGTATCCCGTTTTTTGTAATTTTCTCCACAAATATGAGTATAATTATTTAGGAAAAATTAGATGATTTGCCCCCATTTGTCACAATAAGAGAGCCATAAGAAAAATTCAATCGATTATCCTTGTTATGAAAAATATTTGAAGAAGGATATCGAAGATATATCGAAATCATATTAAATTTCCAATTAGCTTCTGATGTTTTGGGAACGAATCTGCACCATTTTCTACATGAAAATGGAAAATATCTTTCATGACAAATGGTCCTCAGATTTTAGTATTGACACTTATCAGTGAACGATGTTAAGGTTGCCAAACAAATGAGTCACAAGATGCTTTCATCAATGAATCATGAATTTTTATAAATAATCATGAATTTACCAATAGGGATTGAGACCAGACCAGACCAGAGGTGGCGATAAAGCCATTCGTTCAATGTCTATTTTGTCCAGATATTCGTCACGATTTATTCTAACAAAAGTCGTTTCTCCGTGAACTGAGAATAGGGAAGGACGGCGCCGTGGAGAATATCCTCTATTTGTAGCCCTGGAGAATATCCAGCCCTGATTTAAATCATATTGTACAACTCTGGGGCCAACTTTTACCCAAGATCCTTTCACAACTGCAAATTGCAATAGGCAATTTCACTATGATTGAAAATAGCCCTTTTTATATGGCGAACGGTCTCATACATGACTCAGTATATCAAATAGCACTTCCTCTCATCGATTGATTCCTTTAACACCGTTTAATTAATACTTCAAAAGTGCTACAAATCGAGAGAGTACCAAACGATCATTTTTCGCGGTGTGACGTCACTTGTATTTTCTTGAGGCTCCCTCTGACGACCCAAAGAGGATGCGTTGCACAAAACCACAGACACAGAACTCGAGCACAGAGTGGTTGGGTGATCTGTGACTTGAGAGAAAAATGGCTACAAAACAAACTATAGAAGAAGAAAAAGATTAACCTCGAAATCTAGTTCATAGTTCATTATTTAATTTCAATTTCAGTGATCTATCAATGTCATATTAGTGATATTCTCTTGTTCTGAACGTACTGACACATTTCACTTGGACTAAACTGAATCAGTTAATATGCGTTCTTTCAAATGACGTTCATTGCATGTCAACTGATTCAGTTCAGTTCAAGTGAAATGTGTCAGTACGTTCAGAACGAAAGAATATCACATCGACAGAATGATGTTATTGGCGCGAGAAGGTCATACTCTACATTAACCATTCGAATAATTTCATTAATTTCTCGAATTCTTATTTTTGTTTGCTTCAGTATTGAATGTTCGTTTTCGTTCGTTTTAAAAATCTATCAAAAATATAACCAATATAAATGTATTTCTGGATTAGTGATATTCTCTTGTTCTGAACGTACTGACACATTTCACTTGGACTAAACTGAATCAGTTAATATGCGTTCTTTCAAATGACGTTCATCGCATATCAACTGATTCAAATCAGTTCAAGTGAAATGTGTCAGTACGTTCAGAACGAAAGAATATCACATCGACAGAATGATGTTATTGGCGCGAGAAGGTCATACTCTACATTAACCATTCGAATAATTTCATTAATTTCTCGAATTCTTATTTTTGTTTGCTTCAGTATTGAATGTTCGTTTTCGTTCGTTTTAAAATCTATCATCTTTCTCATTGATGAGATTTCATCATGAATACAAAACCATATTGTTGAAGAGACTTTTGTGTGATATCACTTGAAATTCGTTTTTGCTGCTAAGCTACTTAGGGTATTTTAGATTTCTTAAATAATCGACTTTTTATTATTTCTGATGAATCAATGAGCGGTTCTAGAGAAAGGTAACTTTGAAAATGGTGTACATTTTTGGTGGTCGGTTTTCTTTGAAAGTCTGTATATTAAAAAATATTCAAAGAGCAAAATAATTACGAGACGGAAAATAGATAGTTATCTGTATTCTTATAGATTAGTACCGGACATCCAATATAATGAATATAGTGCTTATATGGTGCTAAAGTGAGACTCTGTGAAATGTTTGTGATCGGCAGACGAGCAGAGTGAGTCCGGTAATAGCAGGGATGTCCAATATTTCTGCCGCGTGGCGAGACTAGTGTGGTTGGGGTGTCATTTGTCATGACATGGAATGCATGAATATTCCATGAATGAGAAATAATTATACAACATTGTGAAATCTTAGTAACGATTATTAGTTTCGTAAATGAAATTTCGTTATTGCAAATAAATAAACAAAGATTGGCAGATAACATGACCTCCAACCTCAATAGTGACATCTACTTCGAGCTTTCCAGATCACCTGCCATTACAAATTGCCGAGTCTCCTAGCAACGTCACTTTTCCCTCTGCTGGGTGAATGTCACACAACTTCAACATCGTGTATTGACGTACTGAATGTGATCAATTCCTGACGTTGATGAAACATTCCACCTCAAAATTGCTTTCTTCAAACATGTGTTCTTACAGAAAGCACTAATAATAAATAAAGTATATACAGGGTGAATCTTAAAGTGAGGTTTTTTTCAACAGGAGAATATCACCAAAATAATTTGTTTGGCAAAACATTGCTCATATCGAATATCCAAGATAACGGAGGTACAGGTATTCAAAGGTTTAAAGAAGACCCCAACTATAAAACGTTTTGTTTACATTTTCTCAAAAAAACGCGTACGAGCCGATATTGGTCCAGCATTAGATATCCTATAGTTGCATTATTTCATCAGAAAAATTAATCAAAAACCTCTTTTTACATTTTCAACTTATCAATTCTCGTTTTAAAGTGATTTTTTATTATATTTCCTCCGATCAATCTTAGATTAATAAAATTAGATTAGTAATATACAAAACCTTGGAATGCCTCTACCTCCGTTATCTTACATTTACACCTTATTTATATAGATATATACCCTGTTAAATAAAAAACCTTACTTTCAGGTTCACCCTGTATATGAAATACAAATTTGAAGAAAAAAATCTTCTGGGCTGATGTGATTATTCAATTGAGCGTTCTCCTGATACACGAAAGGTGTGATGCTACATCGAAAAATAAGGAAGTTTGCTCAATAAACTATTGCATAAAATGTTCTGTTACGAAAATACGCGGTGTCAAGGTTTAACAAGAAGTAGAAATATTAATTAATATCTCCGAAACCTCTCGAGATAGTTCGGTGATATTCAATACATACCTTGTGACACCTAATGAATTTGCATGTTTTTCAGTACAAATATAATTTTCGGCTTCAACATTGGTGTGCGTTCGAGCACTAACTACGCTATTCAAATTTCAAATTTATTCTCTGTGTATATCCTATTTTGACTATCTTGAATTTCAACACGGAACATTTTTGGACCATAATTTACAAAGCTTGACTATCACTAACAATTTTCATTATTGACTTGGAAAATTACCAATGTGTCGCAACTTCAACATTACATTAAGAAATAAACCATGAATGATATTTAGATTTCTCCTCAATTGGAGACACCCTTCAACTTTTAGGATTGGAGTAACGGCACTATTCAGAAGTGTTCTCGAAACATCTTCCTATTCATAGATTTCAAAAATTATTGTTAATGTGTACTAATTAGTAGGAGTGATTCAAACATCTGACACGTAGACATTGGTTAAATTGATATGTTTTATTCAGGGAACTGTTGAAAGAAGATGGTCAGGTATCTTAAGATATTTTCCAAAATCGTTGTTTGCCTTCTCTACAACAATTTATGGGGTGTTCGAATTTGAAAAACGTTCATTCTCTCTGAAAATGTACTACGAATAACCCTGTACGTTAAAGAATATTACCTACCTTTATGTGGACTCACCATCAAATTCAAAAAAGTAAATTCAAATAGTGGTGAAAATGATTGTTTTGAATGGGAAATCTAAGAAACAAAGGAAAACTTCGTTCATCACAATGGAACACATCATATGTTCCCAAATAAATGTAGATATTTATATCCAGACTTCAAACCATTTTATGGTTGTTCAGAATGATCCGAAACTATAACTACTGTAGATCTTTGAATACACAGAATGACAATGTATTTTTCTTTCCAGAATCTTTCCAATGAATCTGCTCAAGAGGAACATTCCAAGCTGGCGCAGGCCTTCATGAATGTTCAAACTCTGAACCAACAACTGTCGACTCAACTGACTGCTGCAGAACAAAAAGTGCTCCTGGAAAATCAGATGAATCAACTACATGAGGTCAAAATCTGCGAACTTGAAAGACTAGTTAGCGAGAAAGAAGTAGATCTCAGTCGTCACGATCAAGCAATTCTTGACATAAGACAAACACTCCAAGACTCCTTGAAACAGAACGAAGATTCGCATCGCACGATACTGTCATTGAATGAAACGATTGGGAAACTGCAACATGCAGTCAATAAATATGAAACCGATAACTGCATGTCCAGAGAAAGTAACGAGAACTGTCAATTACAAATCAATTCCTGCAAAGAAAAATTAGTGGAACTGAAAGATGCTTTAGGTAGGTAATACTCTACTAAAAAAATGCTCATGAGTAATCAGAAGATTCAGAACAAGTTAGAATGGTGTTTTACTGTGAAGCATAAAAAACTATGATCAGTTTGATGCATTTTAAAAGTAAATATTCTTTGTTTGCATATTTACCCAAAATTCAACTCATTGGTTATCCTATGCTATGTTCCCAATTCAACTGTCAGTACTGAATCTACCGATTTTCTGTTCTAAACGAAATTTATTGAAAATGACATATTGTGAAAATTCTTGAGTTCGGTTCGCTGTAACTGCTCATCATCCGAAAGTATTGAGTATCTGGAAATCAGTATGAATTGGAGGACCCATTCAGCTTGGTGTTAATTGGCTGCATGTCATTGATTAATTTATGAGTATCATTGGATTTTAAATCATAAAAGATGCATTTTGTTGGAACTGCACATCATTATTTCCATGCAAACTAGAAAACAGATGAGTAACAGTTCACTGCAGGAAATTTTCCGCGCAAGTTGATTTTTTTACTGTTAACTTTGATAGCCCGTTCTTAGGGAAATACTTGGTTTCGTACATATTTTTTTTTTTTTTTTTTTTTTTTTTTTTTCGTGAGTTTTCGTACGTTCTTAGGAAACACCCTATATAAATACATGGTAAAAATAAATTGCCGATACCGAAAGCAAGTCCTGTAAAATGGGCTTTCACACTATTATTACTCTATATGTTTAGTGTAATCAAGTGATTGCGTTACTTTCAAGCTATATACTGTTCAGTGCCAACCATAAATTGTGTCAAGCTTCAAGCATATATCAATCTAATGTTACCAGTTGACTTGATCAGTTTGTTTTATGCTGTTCCTAATGAACAAACATGAGGGCTAATAAGAATTAAAATTGATAATATTAAGGCTGTGAAAGTTTTGATAGGTACTTATACCAATGATTTGCTACTTCCTATGATCAACATCTATTGATAATTTTTTGATGAGTTCACGAATCTAGTCCTGCCAAGGAAAATTCACTGCACAAGTGTAATGAAGGGCTTTCATGATTAACATTTGTCTAAAAAACGTGATATTCCAACCAGCATTCTTTCAACCAATTATTCTGTATATTCAACTTGATGAAAAATCTCAGCACATTTTATATATGTAGATTTATATGAATGGACTTCCTACAATAATACTTCATAATTTGAAATGAATTATTTTCAGAGAGAAAAACTTCCGAGCTTTGTAAACTAGAAATGGCGTACAACAACCAAAACAGAACTTTGCAATCTGCCCAAATCGAAATGAAGGAAATGAAAGAAAGGCAGAAGAGCAAACAGTGCCACATGAAATGTATCATAGAAGAATTGAAGGACAAACTTGCTCAGTATGAAGGAAAACATAAGGGATTATTGGAAGAGTTGAAACAACTCCAAACTCAGTTAGGAATTGTAACTAGAAAAGATGCAGTGAAAGAGGTTGAAATAAAACGCTACAGGAAGATTATTGGAGATCTAAAAAGGACAGTAAGTCTCAAAAATTATTCCATTAGTTTTATCATTAAGTGCAGTTTTCGAGTCTGGTTAAATATGATCGGGAACAAAAATATACCCAAAATAAATGTATTTTTGGATTTCATTAGTTTTGTCTAGAGGAAATAATAGTTCCCAATGTTATGAAAATCTAAAAATCTGAAAAATTCACAAAAATATTGTCACGGCCCAGGGTTTTCCCCTTGTTGTTTTAGATAAATATTTATCAGAAAACTTTCATTATTTTATTTCTACTTCTTTTTAGTTTGTAAATCAATAAAAGCGGGATTCTTTAGTTCTCAAAACTACTCTATTTATTTTATACTTCTTTTTAGTTCGGTACTCTATAGCTACCTCTTCATTTTTTCAAACTACTCTTTATTTTCTACTCACTTTTTTTTAGTTTGGCTATCTATAAAAAGGAGTTTCATTAGTTTTTCAAACTAATATTCATTACAATAGCTGATACCCGGCAAACGTTGTTTTGCTATATACAATTATTTCTAGAAAATATTTTTTAGTTAAATATTTATCAACATACTTTTAGTATTTTGTTTTCTAATTCTTCTCCGACCTCGAAAACACCCAGATACAAATTTTTAATAGAATCGGATCATAATTACAAAACTCATTTGCCATATTGGATCCTCCATCTTTAATTTCCTAATTTTGATGAAGAATCATAATCTCCGATCCCAAAATCCCCCAGATACAGATTTGGAATGGAATCGGATCATAGTTACAAAACTCGTCCGCCATATTAAGTCTGCCATCTTGGATTTCCACATTTCGATGGAAGAATCATTGTCTCCGACCCCGAAAACTCCCCGATACCAATTTTGCATAGAATCTGATCATAATTAAAAAACTCGTCCGCCATATTGGATCCGCTATTTTGAATTTCCCCATTTTGACAAATGATGCATATCTCCGACCTCTAAAACCTCCAGATACCAATTTTGAATAGAATCTGACCATAATTTCCAAACTCGTCCCCCATATATTGGATCCGCCATTTTGAATTTCCAAATTTTGACGAACGAACCATAATCTTCGACCCCGAAAACAATCAAATACCAATTTTGAATATAATTGGATATTGGATCCGCCATTTTGAATTTCCTAATTTTGATAAAAAATCATAATCTCTGACCTCGAAAACCCCCAGATACCAATTTTGAATGGAATCTGACCATAATTACACAACCCGTCCGCCATATTGGATCCGCCATTTTGAATTTCCTAATTTTTATGAAGAACTCATAATCTCCGACCTCAAAAACCCCCAGATACCAATTTTGATTGGAATCTGACCATAATTACAAAACTCGTCCGCCATATTGGATCCGCCATCTTGAATTTCCAAAATTTGACAAAAGAATCATTATCTCCGACCCCGAAAATCCCCAAATACCAATTTTTAATGAAATCGAATAACAATACTCGTCCGCCATATTGGATCCGCCGTCTTGAATTTATTTAAAAAATAGATTTCGACCGATTCTCATACCTTCCGAATACGCATAAAAAATTTCATACGAATCGGTCGAGCCGTTTCGGAGTAGTTCGACCACTAACACCGTGACCGGGATAGGAGAATTTCATATATTATATTCGATAAACGATAAAAAATATGTATATTGTATATCTATTGAAGTTGATTTTTTCTTTTTTTTATCGACGATATCTGTTGGTTATATTTCACCCTTCAACTTACCTCGGGTACAGTTTTTATATTATCATCAATACAAATACAATTCGTTAGTTTTATTGTCTATTTTCAGCTTATTGAACTGAATAGGAGTTTGTCGAGAAAGAATGTCAAATTTGAGAGTAGATGCAATAATGAAGAATGTAGAAAGTATATGGCACAATCTGAAGAACTCAGAGATCAACAAGAAACACCTCCCACCTGTCCTTGTGAAGTTGAGTTTTATCAATCTATTGTAGAAACACTAAAGAAATCGGTAAATCCTAAAACGTACTCATTTACCGTGCATTGACTTTCAATATTTTTATTTAAGGTGATTGATTTGAAGAAAAAATTAGCTGAGACCCAAAAGAAAAACCAAGAGCTCGAAGAGGATCAGAAATTTAAAGAATCACAATTTGCTGACATATCAAAATCACAAATGGAGTGCAACATTTTGAAACAAAAACTTATGGAACGATTAAAACAAGCGCAAGCAGAAGAAACTCGCTATTCGGAAATGGCGAACCAGTTTGAAAGAGAGCTGGCATCGTTGAGACAAGAGTTGGAAGTCAAGACTATACAGTTGGATGAGTGCAAAAAGAGTGCGCAAGAAATAAACAGTTGCCGGTGTGTTCAGCTGGCGTGTGCTGAAGAGGAGGCGAGCGCTCTCAAAGAGGAACTCAATAATCTTCTAAGGAAACATTGTGCACTTAATGTTGAGGTAAAAATGATCAATAATTCGTTTCTTATTATAGTCCAAGAGCCGGCTGCAAATTTCGACCGTCATCTGATAACGAAATGATATACAGGGTGTCCGCTAAAAGGAGGTCAATCCATCAACCATTTATATTCCTTGAACAAAAACAATATGAGTTTCTAGATACCATTTTTCATTTTAGCCCTTCATATTCGATATACAGGGTGTCAAAGTTGGAAATTAAAAACTGTTTTTTTATAATTACTCGCTTATTTATTAAGATATTAATCTCAAAATTGATACATGACTTCAGCACAAAGAGTTACATCGTGTGAGGAAAACAAAACAGAAAATAACTGTCAAATATTCAAAATACTGGGGGTCAAGTACACACTTACCCCCATATTTTATTTGTACGTGCGCTAATGACTTCCTATCTATTTTTCTTCAAGTGTTCAACCATTTTTGAGTATTTTTTGTCTCTTGTAAAATTTTGATAAAATTAATTGTTTTTAAGATAATTCGAAAAGTACTGGTTATTGTTTGATGCCTATGCGGCTTACGGTAATCTCATAATGTTCACATACTGATAATAATAATAATAATAATATAAGTTTATTCAAAAAAGTTTACAAAATATACATTGGAATAAACATATAGGTAATTTGAATAAACTGGGAAGAACCTTACGAAGTTAACCTTGTAGTAAGGATAAAAAATAAATAAATGTACATAGGTCAATAAATATTTAACAGTATCAAATTATCACAAGGGAAAATTGTCTCATTAAGAAATGAGACAGGTATTCAATTCATAATATATAGTGTACTGAGCATTTCATTCAATACGCATAATTATTTATATTCATACATACTTATTTATTTCGTCGAAATTGGAAGAGGGCGTAACTATTCACGTACGAAAAGGTTAATATGGAAATAACGGGTGCTCAGAGCGAATGTATTGAAATAATTTTTACAAAAAAAATTGCTAAAAATTCAACACGTCTAAATGAATTGCTCGATATGACCTACAATTTTTTTAATACACATGCGTGCCCTTTTAATTAAAGAAAATCTCAGCCTTTGAACAAAATATGATTTGCTCTTACTAGTGAGAGAAAATATGTGGTTTCAATTAGACGGTGCACCTCCGCATCTTGCTGTAAATGTTCGAAATTATTTGAATGAAATCTTTCCTAATCGCTGGATTGGTCGGGGTCAGGATGCTCCTGTTAAATGGCCACCCCGTCCTCCTGATCTCACACCCTTGGACTTTTCAGTCTGTGAATGCATGAAGATTTCGTGTATAAGGTTCCGATTATGAGCGAGAATCATTTAAGAGACAGACTCTTTCAAGCTGGGGAGCACTTCAGGTTGAAGCCACATATCTTTCAAAGGCTAACATGTTCTTTAATTAAGCGGGCGTGTTTAAGTTCTATCAATTTCTTTTTTGTAAAAATTATTTTAATACATTCGCTCTGAGCACCCGGTATTTCCATTTCCTTTTCGTACGTAAAAAGTTACGCCCTCTTCCAATTTCGACGAAAAAAATAGGAGTATGTGAACATTATGAGATTAGCGTAAGCCGCATCGGCATCAAACAATAACCAGTACTTTTCGAATTATCTTGAAAACAAATAATTTTATCGAAATTCAACAAGAGACAAAAAATACTCAAAAATGATTGAACACTTGAAGAAAAATAGATTTGAAGTCATTAGCGCACGTACAAAAAAAAATATGGGGGTAAGTGTGTACTTGACCCCCTTTATTATGAATATTTGACAGTTATTTTCTGTTTTGCTTTCCTCACACAAAGTAACTCTTTGTGCTGAAGTAATGTTCCAATTTTGGGATTAATATCTTATCAAATACGCGAGTAATTTTAAAAAACAGTTTTTAATTTCCAACTTTGACACCCTGTATATCGAATATGAAGGGATAAAATGAAAAATGGTATCTAGGAACTCATATTGTTTTTGTTCAAGGAATATACGGTTAATGGATTGACCTCCTTTTAGCGGACACCCTGTATGTCCCAAAGGCTTGTAAAGCCATTGTAGTTTATCGAACGGCACCTGTGCCAATTACTATCCTGAGCAAAATGATTGAGAAATTGCAATTTCCTGTGCGGAAATTTGCTCCTGATTTCGCGATTTGATAACGAGATTAAAATTATGCCATCCGAAACCAATTGAATAATAGATTTCGAAATTCTACCTGTGCCACTCCTCAGCCTGAGCCAAATCCACGGCACAGCGATTTATTTGCTGCTATTATTCCGGACATACATCCGTCATGTGATAACGAGTTGAAACAAGAAGCAAATAAAAGGGAATGATGTCGCCTTTGCGAATATCCAAACAAATAATAATATTCAATATGTCAAATGCAGCGCACAACTTATAATGGTCTATATTGGGTAGTTCATTTTCCCAACTCTCTCTTAAAATTAGTTCAATGTGTGAAAGTGAAAGTGTATCAGACGTTTTTTTTTTCATTTTCTTGTTGGTCCAGCACTGTAACCAACGCCCATTGAGTCGTAAATTGTGCGGGGTTAGGGAAATACATATGTTCTACGGCTATAACACAAAATTGCTCTTGAACTTTTTATGTCATCAATTTATTTTTTTATTTTTTTATTTTTCAGTTATTGCATTACATTCTTTTCTTCATTGATACATTTCATACAAATAATATATAAAGTATAATTAATTTTCTAGTAGGAATGACATGAATGATCAGACAGTAATTCCTGGTATAAGATCATTCTGATATCATAATGACTCCATTGTGTTATTATTTCAAAAAAATCTCATCGCCCATGGAATGTCAAATTTCAAGCAATGACAGCTTTTTTTTCAATTTACTCGGCCGTTACTTGATGGAAATCCATAGCAAATGTAAAAACTTCACAAACGATGAGATTTCCACAAAATTTCTAGTCACATGACATGTTTCGCTAACACAGTAGCTTCGTCAGGTGAAAAACTGGTACAATGAAAGAAACTAACCCTGGCTTGCCTAAACTTATGTATATCCTAATTTCCCAACCTGAAGGATTAGAGTTATCTGTGGAAAGGTTCATTTTCGGAAAATAGGCACAATATCTACACTAAAATACGATGTAACGGGTTAACTTGAAAGGGGTGATAGCAAATAAATATTATTACCTACTAAGAAAACAAATTCCTCAGTGGTGAACTATTGAGGTCTAATTGATCGTTGAGTAAAATGTTCGAATTTTTGAGTTTGTTGATTTCTAATGATTCAAAATGATTGAGTTTTATTCCTTATGGTTGGCGTATGTTCAATTTGTTTTTTTTTTCAAAAAATTCATCTAATGTTCATGAATGCGCTGTTTAAAAGTACGACCTGTTTGACCGATATATATCTTAGGGCAAGATCCACAGTTGAGTTTGTTTACTCCTGATTTTTCGAATATGGAATTTTTGTCTTTATTATTTTTGATGAACCTTCCCCACGTGTTATTTGTTCTATATGCTACTTTTAAGTCTTGTTTATGTAGAAATGAAGATAATTTTTCAGTTAATGATCCGAATTAGGTTAAAGTTCTATAATTTTGATTATTATTTTTGATGATTGGATAAACTTCTTGAATGGCTTTATTATGGAGTTTTTTAGATAGAATACTGTATCAAATTAACGTTGTATCTGTTGTTGACTGCAATCTGTTTTATGATATTGAGTTCTTTATTGAAATTTACTTCTGGAAGAGAGACATTCACTAGCCTGTGTATCATATAATAGTATGATACCCAATTTTATATTGATGAGGGTGTGTTGAATCATTATGAATAGTGATATCAGTGATGGAAAATTGAAGAATCATATTTATCATTAATTTTACTTATTGTTAAATCTAAGAAATTGGTTGCCTTTTCTGTTTCTCTAGACCTCAATAGTTCACCACTGTTATCGCCGTAGAAAATTATAGTGTATAATCCGCACGGAATGCTAATTTCCCACACGAATTATTGCAGCATTTGCCTTCGGCTCATGCTGCAAACTTCATTCTCGTGGGGATCACTATCATTCCGTGCTTGTTGAACAATATACCAAACAAACATCCATGGCTTGAGTGGGGCTCGAACCCATGCAACGGTGTTTGTTGTTGATGCTTGAGTATTTGTTTTTGATGTCCATATTTTACATGATGTTTCCAGAAATTCACAATTAAGAGAACTTGAACCTCCTGCTAAGTATCAGTAAAACATGATATGGCAATAATCAAAGTACTTGGAGTTCAATATCAATTTAGATTTTTTTCAATTCTCTCCTTACGAAAGTTCATATCCATGTAGGCAACTTCGAAGTGGTATTTCAAGAAATCTATACAACACAACTATTATAATAATAATAACTCATTCGATCTTCTGGTTGTTTCTCAGAATGAAAAGCTACACTCACAAAGTGCAAGAATGCAGTCAACAGTCGTTAGTCTCGAAGAAAAAAGTCAGCTGTTGAAAGGACAAGTTGAGCAATACCTTCTGGAGTTACAAATGGTACAAAACGAAAAAGAGAGCCTACTAGAAAAGAATCGAGATCTCCTCAACGAGCTGAGATCACTACAGTCATCCTACCATTCCGCTGGCAAACAGCAAAGGTATAATTCAGAAGCGGTGAAAATTCTTGAATTGGAGCTAAATGAGATTAAAAACAATCGAGACGAAATTTGTTTCGAGAGTAAAAATGTTATAAACTACTTCAGGAACTGGTTGCAAGAACAGAGAAAAATCAACCAGCATGTTATTGCTAAGGAGAGAGATTTTCGTGAGACTATTGAAACGTTAAAACAAGAAAATGAGTAGGTATTCGTGTGATTTTGAGCATGCCGCTAAGTTGAACTGGAATGATGACAAATTAACAATATAACAATTAGTAGCATTTTGTTTAGGTTGGTCGTCATTAGAGTTTTGACTTCACAAAATGTAAGTATTTCGAGTAATGACGAATACTTTAAAAGAATTTTTTTGAGATTTTTTTCCATCAATTTAACGCCAAAATGTACGAGCGAATTCAAATGATCAGACATGGCCGCGAAACGTGTTACGTCAATGCGCAATGAGCAAACTGGATTGGTAATTCCCTTACCTTCTTGCGGGTGCCAATAAAATGCACGATGGACTTGACAATGTTGCCAATTTGGACAGAAAGCTATGATCAGTCGGATATTCATTCCTCGATTATTTCATTTAAGCAAATAATACAGATGCTGTTAGATAACTCAACTCATAACTACTTACCTGCAAATTCGTGGTATTGAATTCGCATTGATTGGTTATTGATGATTAGTCAGTTGGTTGATTTCTGTTGGAGAATTATTCAAAATTGTAAGAGACATTTTATTTTGTATTGAATTACAGTGCAGATATTCGTAATATTCAGTTTCAATACCCTTCCAGTGGAGTACTTTCAAGTTTAGGTACTAACCTATTATGTACCTACCTATACCTATCTACCATCGGGAATGAAGAAAAGGTTCATTATTCAAAATTCCTCGTTGGGTTGTCATATTTTGGACAAGCTGATGATTTTTATTTTTTCGTTTGGCAGGGTTCTTTTCTATTACAGAGTACTTTTCAAACAGAGCTAATTTAATTGAACTAACAGGTATGCAATGTGCTACTAAATTTCTAATTATAACGCAGAGTGCGCAAGTTTTAATCCGTGAAAAATAACACTGTAACTAACAAATTTCTTCTGTAACAGTAATAAATTCATGATATTTAGTGGTTGTTGCCAGTGTACGATGTTAGACATTTGTTCATAATAGTATAGCAATAAGCCCTAGAAATACACCTACCCGAAATGTCTATGGTGGAAATTTCAGACCAATCAGGACGATATTGGCGATATATTCGAATCGCGGATGTTGGTGATACAAGCGTCTAGCTATACCATTTCCATCTGTGGCTTTCTGAATTTCGAAGACCTAATGAAACGTGATATTAGGAAGTAGAATGTCTTCTCTGCATAAGAAAGGAAACCACTTTTCCTAAACATTCTAACCTAACGGCATAATATATCATGATACAAGTAATGAAAATATCCTTTCGGTATAAAAAAAGACCACTTTTTCTAAACAATCTAACCTAACTCGGCCTAATATACAAACACTTTGAACGGCCCCCTCTATATCTCAGCTATTAGTCGTGCGATTCGTACCAAATTTCGACCAGTATGAAAAATAATCAATATGATCAGTTTTTCAGAGATGAAGATCCTTTTGAACAGTGCAGTGTTTTTTTATTTGAATAAAAAGGGGTCGATATTTATAGGAATTTTGCCTGTTTTTTCGAAACCCTTCATAGCGATCATGAAAATTTACATATGAGGGTTTCTAACCATTGAGAACAATATTATCAGGTCAATTCTCCTGTAATTAAATTCCTAATTTCATCATCATCATCTTTATTATTCCCAAGAAACAATTGACGTATATGTTTATAACAGGGAACATTAAAAAAATGAACCATAATGTATTACATTACATTCAAAATATAGTATTTATAGGTATAATAATTATTCTAGTAATTCTCATAGTTTGAGCAGATCCTTGTTTGAGTGAATGAATGATTAAAATAATTGATATGTTATATGATCTCAATATGGATGACATGACAAAATTCAGACGAATAAATATTTTTTGAGTTCTGAGTTCTTTAAGTCTTGTTGGCAATTCATTGTAAAGTGATAATCCATTGTAATATATTGATCTCTTGCCAAATTCAGATTTGATTTTAATGAGGGAAAACATGTCTGTTTGTCTAGTTGAATATGAATGTATATCTGATAAAAATTCACAATCTCAATCTGATGAAAATATGAATTTTTTGATATATTCAACAGGAAGAAACTACCTTCCTGGCTATATGCAACGACGAACATTGAATTACATCTATTGAACACACAAATTCCTATTGTGTGTGCCCGGAAAGTAGTTGTTCTCTGTTGAATATACCGAAAAAGAATTCATATTTTCATCAGATAGAGAATGCGAATTCTTTTCATGCTCATAATATATCTGGGAATATTCCTTTTAAAACGCCATTTTCTGTTTACAGAGAATTGCGCTTTCAGCTTCACCCCCAAGTACAAAGGCAATGTGTCAGAAATACCTCTTGCATAAGATCTGCGACCCCACCACCGGCTTGCCAATCTCCATGGAGCCTGGGATCCCAAGGAACTGCCTCCGTCCATGAGGAGAGCCCTTCCAGAAGTCCGTGTTTGAATGAGGAATGCGATTGGTTTTCTCAGTCTTTCAGGGCAAGTGAAATTTTATTATTAGTTGGTTTCATCAGGGCCTTTCTGCATTAAATTCTTTCGATTCACTGGGTGACAACGAAATCATTGGACAGGGCATCATTCACTTGATGGAAAAACAATCGAACATCACTTCCGGTTTTACCGGAAATTGCCTAGTCATACACAAACCAGTACTTTGTATGATATGACCTATGTCACCACATTTTCAGTACCAATTCACCATTGAATTGGAAGAAAAAGGTTCAGTTTCCTAACCTACGATTATCACTTTGACACAAGCCGTGACAGACAAGTTTTTTCATTGATATAAAATTTCATAAAATTCAGTAATGTTTTTAATAATTTGACCACATATTCCAATTTCTAAATTGTCATGCTCCAGAGATGTTGTGCAACATTTTTTATATATACCTTTTTCTCAACATCCATGTAACCAAACTCAATGAGTTAATGATTAATATAACTTTTGGTGGTGAGTTCAACTCTTACTTGCTGCTTCCCCACTACTAACTTTCATCTCTAACTTGTCAGCAACGACTTGTCCTCTATTTATATAGATTTATTAAAATATCAAAAGTAGAAAAAATATCACAATATTTCTTCGTGTTGGGGATGCAGTCAAAATTCTGGCTTTAATTGAGAACTCTTCGTTACATAGCTCATTTAAGGCAAAAATTTTGACTGCACCCCAACACGAAGAAATATTGTGATATTTTTCTACTTTAGATATTTTACCTCAACTGGTCAGTCAGACTACCCTTCTGAAACAATATAGGGTGTTTCCTAAGTACGTGTAGAAAATTCAGGAGCATGTTGCTGACGTCAAAATAAGAAGAAAAGTTCGTATAAATATATGTCCGAAAGTTACTCGTTTATGAGATACAGAATGTCAAAGTTGAATTTTTATTTTTGTTTTTTGTTAATAAATTCGAAATTGATTTTGATATTCGGATAAAGTTTGGTATCTAGGAATATTTTTCAATGACAATATCAAATGTTATGTTAGTTTGTCTCTTTCGTGGGGGTGGCGCCACCTACATGTCTTGAGTCTTTTAAAAAGTCATAACTTTTTTGTGGGTACCTGTATCACGTTTTATAGTAGAAAAATAGATTTCTAGAACACTTTTGTGTAAAAAATATATTCCTGGTAGAGGTCACTGCGAACAACTGTCTTCGAGTTATTGGGATTTGAAATAAACGATGCATTTGAATTATTTCCATGGGGCTCGTTAGTCGCCTCTAAGTAGTAAATATCAGAAAAGATACGCCAGTGCATTTTTCTTCTTTCATTCAATATTTTCCTACATTCAACATTGGAATGAAAAGATGATTCTTACTTCTTTGTACCAACTTTTTTGGACTCTTCCAATTTAAGAAAATAATCAAATGAAAGATTGCCTAATATCGACTGCCGAATCACCAGACATTCAATCGAAGAAGATCCACAGACAAGCACGAGAAAAATTGCGCAAAATCTTACGAACCCCATGGAAATGATTCAAATGCATCGATTTTTTCAAATCCCAATAACTCGAAAACAGTTGCTTTCAGCGACCTCTACCAGGAATATATTTTTTACAGCAAAGCGTTCTAGAAATATATTTCTCAACTAAGTTACGACTTTTCAAAAGACTCAAAAGACATGTAGGTGGCGCCACCCCACGAAAGAGACAAACTAACATAACATTTGATATTGTCATAGAAAAATACCCCTAGATACCTAACTTTATACGAATATCAGAATTATTTTGGAATTTATTAACAAAAAACAAAATTAAAAATTCAACTTCGACACTGTATCTCAGAAACGAATAACTTTCGGACATATATTCATATGAGCTTTTCTTCTTATTTTGACGTCAGCAACATGCTCCTGAATTTTCTACACGTACTTAAGAAACACCCTGTATATTTCAATAATATCTGGAACCTTCATTACCTCAAGTTGAATCTTGAAATGAATAGAATCAAAATAAAACTTGAAATAGTGTTCATTTTTCATGTAAAATTCAATGGGCTTTCTGATTTTCAACTCATTTCAACCATTATTCAATGAATAAAGAATATATGATGCATTTACTGAAGTAACAGAGTACCACTAGCTCCCTCTATGAGCAATCACAATAAGTTACTAATTCGTATTTCTCATGTCAACAAACCTATATATAACTATAGCACTTAATAATAATAATAATAATAATAAATGGACTTTATTTTACTTGGCGGAGTTTAGCTCATAGCTATTCTTCCACTCAACCAAGTGTTACGATTTTACTCTGGGTCCGTAATAACTTAACACTCGGTATAACACTTAAAACGATTTATTCTGTACACTACTATACAATAATAACAATACTCGTACTAAACACTTCCGATTCACAACACTTCTTCGATCGTTATTATAACGCTTCCAAATAAAGACTTAATTCCTGTCCCTAACAACATCTATTTATATTACCTAATAAAACGTCTAGATTCCACTCGAAATATCGTGAACAGGTCGATAATTTATTTATTTATTTATTTATTTATTATAGGTAATTCAACAGAACATAAGTTCCAATTACAGAATTACGCATTGTGACAATATTAATGCGTGTGGTATAATTAATAGGTACATTAAAACTGACTAATAACTAATAACTAATAACTAATAATTACATTTTCTATCTGAGTAGTAGGTAACTAGTATGAAACTGAAGTAGAACGAAAAATAATAGTAAATTAATCTATAATTTGAAAACATCAAGAGCCATTTTTTTTACCCGAGCGGCTGTGTTACAAAACAAATCTATGTGAGAGAAATAAAGATTATATAATTCTTGAATTGACATCACAGGTGAATTTTTTGAATAGTTGGTATTTCGGAAGCTGGTATAAAATAAATGAGGAGAACGAGTGGCATGGGGCTTTATACTGAAGTTGAGACTGCTCAATAAGTATGGACTATCTACTTGATTATTGACTATTTTAAAGAGGAATCGTACGAACGAGACCAATCTCCTAACGGACAGTTTGGGTATATTATAATACTTGAGACTCGTTTCATAGTTTTGAAAGTGCAGTTGTCTATTGAATTTAAAGTTCAAGAAGTTTACAAATTTCTTTTGTACCCTCTCAATCCGATCGATATATTTATAATAATGTGGGTTCCAGATAATGCTGGCGAATTCAAGATGGCTACGAATTAGTGAGTTGTATAAAATAATTAGAGACCTATGATTCGTGAAAGATTTTGTGATTCGCATAATGAATCCCAAATTGCGCAAGGATTTTTTTAGAATGGATTCAATGTGATTTTCAAAAGTCAGTTTAGAGTCCAACAAGATACCTAAGTCTTTTATCAAGTCAACTTTTGCCAAGTTGTTATTGTTAATAGCATATGGAAAGTCTATGGCTTTATGTATTCTGGAGAACGTAATTTGATTACATTTTTGAGCATTCAGTACGAGTTTATTAGTTTCACAGTAACTTTGCAATCTAATAAGATCTGTCTGCAAATTCAAGCAGTCTGTATTATTTTTGATAGTTTTGAAAACTTTTAGGTCATCTGCATACAAACAGAACTCAGAATGTAGAAAACATTCACTGATGTCATTAATGAAAAGAGAAAACAACAGGGGTCCAAGGTGTGAACCCTGAGGTACTCCAGACGTAACATTGGTGTACTCTGAAAACCAACTATTCAAAGTTACAGTTTGCGTTCTATCCCTTATATAACTTTCTATCAATCTGAGTAAGTTGCCATGTATACCAATATTTCCCAGCTTAATAATTAGTGACTTATGATGAACTTTATCGAAGGCTTTGGAAAAATCGGTATACACAGCGTCAACTTGTAGCCTAGAACTCATGTGATCAAGAATTTTTTGAGTAAAAAATGCTAGATTTGTGATAACCGAACGGCCTTGGAAAAAACCATGCTGATTGTCGTTTATGAGATGTTTGGTTGCATAAAACAATTCGAGGGTTATAATGGCCTCGAATATCTTTCCCGGAGTTGAAAGCAACGATATTGGCCGATAATTTAAAACATCATTTCGGTTTCCACTTTTGAAGATGGGAATAACATTGGCATGTTTCCACTTATCCGGATAAACTCCTTCAGAGAGAGATTTGTTGAAAATTATCAGTAGTGGAACCGCTATTAAATTACATGCATTTTTTAGAAAGACTGGTGGTATTCCATCAGGTCCAGCACCCTTGTGTATATCAAGTTTCTTGATTTGTTCAGTGATCTGATCTAGTGTTATATTATTCATAGTAATGGAAGTAGGTGGGTCCGATCTAGTAACAAAAGGAGGGATGTCTGCTGGTTCGAAAACAGATGAGAAATATTGAGAGAAAGCTTCACAAACCTCGCTGTCTGTAGAGAAAGTGCTACCTTGATATTCTACATATCTTGGAACGGTTTTGGATTTATTTCGGTTTGATACGAAAGACCAAAAGGTTTTCATGTTATGTGTCATATCGTTTTCGATTTTGCGAGAGTAATCAGCAAAGTTTTGTTTTATTGACCTTTTTATCTCCCTCCTAATAGTGCAAAACTCCACATAGTCTGCCTGATTATGATATTTTTTCCATTTTTTGTGTAATTTGTATTTTTGTTTTATCAGTGATTTTGTGAAGTTGGTATACCATATCGGAAAATCTTGTTTGAATAGTTTGTTCGGTACATGCGCAGAAATGAGATAATTGATTTTATTGTAAAATACATCAACAGCTTCGTTGCAGTGGAGTTTTCCCAATAAAAGTTTCCAATCTGTAACATTCAGTTCGGCATTTATTTCATTGTAGTTAGCTTTGAAAAAGTTTCTATTATTAAAAGAGTCCTTATGCTTGGAAGCACTGATATTTTCTTCCACATTGATCATAATTTCTAGAGATTTGTGATAGGAATCCTCGTTAACAAAGGGAGCTGGACTTGAAAGAACAGAAGTGTTATTCAGCGAGCTAAAAACTAAATCCAGTAGCTTACCTTGGATATTGCGATTGCCATT